ACTGCTGCCATAGATTTGCCATGTAATACTGTTGCAGAAATATGCTTCTTAAGCTCCTTAATCAAGGATCTGTCTGCATTCTGCTTCTCCCTTTCTCTTCAACACCTATCATGTAAGAAGTTGTAGGCCATGTAAGCCTTCCTTCACATTTCCCCCTCCTTTTTTAATTTTTTCTTTTCTTTTTTTTTTTTTTTTTTTAAGGAGGAAGTAGAAGAGAGATGAGGCAGAAAGAGAACAAGATATACCTCCTCCTTTCAGTTAAATCAATCAGGAATTTCTACCCCAGACACAAAAAGCCTTGTTCGTTACATTTTTATTGTAATGAGCTTTTCACAGGAATGGACAACAGCGAAGTATGCAACACAGACATTTCAGTTTCTCAACTCACAGATTCAGCTACAGCCTAGCAAAATATTTCCAGTAGTGTAACAAATATGTTGTGCAAAATATTTATTTGTGTGGGTATTTGTGCGTACTCATGAGCAAATATAGCATACATACAACAACTGAAAATAATTAAAAGAAGTTTAGGCATCCAAGACGTAAAAAATAGCAGAATGATGTGTAACCCTAATTCAGCCTCCATTTTGTATGGATTATGATGTTAATTTTCCTTACAAAGAAACTTCCTCCCACAATCAATGGGCCATCGCTATATATTAATATTTAACCTCATTCAAATAAATCCCCTCCAAGCACTTCTGAAAAAACGTTTTAACTGAACAGAAAGACATCTCTTAGCATTTCTATTCCATTATCTCTGTTTATGAAACACTTACTTACACTAAATTAGCTTCATTATTACAGCCTGTACAATGAAATTAAGGTCCATAATTACTGCTACTTTGCTAAAGATTACAGTCAGAATGGTCATTTAGCATCTATTCATTCTGGATGTTCACCTAGAAATGTCTCAAAATGTGGTTTTACACGGTACTTAGCATTATATTTCACATCTTAAATTAAAGCCACATTTCCAGTCAATTTCAGCAGGAGCTGCGTATATGCAAGACTTGTTTTCAGTTATTTGTTTTGTCCATCCTCAAAGACTACAAAAACAGATCAGGAAATAAGACTTCTCAAGGGTACACAGCTACCAAGAACCATTCAGCCACTCTGTTCAGAGTCTAGAATAAAACTTTAAACAGAGAGCAACAAATTGCCTTAGCCCATTAAGTCATATTCTTTTCTTTTCTCTGTTTTCTATTTCACTCACTACATAGATTTGAATCTCTAGAACAACAAGTTAGAAGCCCAGGAAGGCGTTCTTCTGTTCAACATAATCTCACCACCAGGACAGCAATTCTATATTGAAGACTTAAAGCCCAGCTTCTGAATGCTGGACTTAAGCTGTAATATTATTTTAAATGCAGGAGGTTGAATGGAATTTCTGTTAAAACAATCAGTTGTGACACAAGCCTAGCTGGGACATTCTAAAAGAGAGATCTTAAGTTCACCCCTATTGAACTTCACTATTCACTTTCCTAGAACTACTGCTCATGGTAATCATTAAATAACGGGGGATGAAAGGGGAAAAAAACATATTGGCTGTTCAACTGACTAATACTGAAAGCAAAAGAATCACAGTTTAGACTCTCACTTCAGATTCTACCATCAGAGGCAAAAATGCATCTTTTTTGCTACTAGCTTCCCTAACCCAGACACAAGCATAAATGTACTTTTGTAAGTGCCACAGTAAACATTAATACCAGAGGACAAAAATCCCATCTATTTTCTCGTCCATGTATGTGTAAACACGTGTACACACATGCCCTTCTAAAACAGAAAATCAAATCTAATCTTTGATTTATAGTTTATATGCTGCAAGTGAATTTCCAATTCAAGCCAGCCTTGTTTTTTGTTTTTGTGTTAACAAATATCGTGCATCTGATTAACCATCACCTGTATATTCCTTGTTTGTTATTAAGAACCTATCCCTGCCTATAGGATTTATACAGCTTCCAGCTACAGCAGCAGCTGATTTTCTCAATAGTAAAGGCTGCTTTACTGTTTGCATAGCAAAACAGATCTTAAATGTATTACATTATGTCACAGACTTCAGCCAGGGAAGTGTTGAACAAACAGAATGAAACACATTTAGGCCTTCTTTTCATAGGTAAAGAAGAAGCATCTAGCAGACATGGTGAGCGATATGAACAGCTGATAAGTTTTTTCACTACTGTATCTATTGAATGCAATTTAATCAAGCTTCTATTGATGAACAAAAAAATAAAACATAAATCGTATTTGTTTTGCTAGAGACTTTGTGATTCAGCCGGAAAAGAAAACTCTCCAGTATGCACGTATGTCTAAATCAATTGCATATCCTACAGTAATTAACTTCCCATGAACAATTTATCTTCACCAAACAGTGATTCTGTTTCAAAAACAGAGGAATAACGAGGTCAGTTTCATTTAGGTAAGCTCAGTTTAATTTTAATACTACAGAGATTTAGCTTTGTCTTCATGCTGAGTGGTGGTTCACTTTGTGATGGTTACTACTTATTTTGATATATTTACATTGGTTATTAATGTGCCTCTGATAAGTGAAGGTGATGAAACTGAAAATTTAACATAAAAGCAATGATAACACCTGCAGGTGCCAGTATAATGAAAATGCCTGTGTGTAGCAGGAAGTACACCTTCTAAACCCATGCCCAGGCAATCATGTGATAGATACATTATTAGCAGGCAGGTACTTTCACATGGTGGGCTTTTTTGTTCTCCTTTCTTGAGGCAAGTGCTTTGACTTAATATTACTCACATCAGACTCCACCTGTGACCATGCCTCTACCCCCTAGATTTCTAAGGATGTCCAGGCTAATAGAACAAATAAACAACTATTTCAGTTTCAGTAAAATGACAGCGTTACTTCAGTCATCTGAAACAAAGGCGGGTAAAATTAAGTTGCTATAACATAGTGAGTCATAAAGTAAAAACATGAAAGATAAAAGACAGAATTATAGAAAAATTGTTTAAGTATTATCTTCAGAGCCAATCAAAGTCTGAATTTACTGACCAACATCTCAGCAGCAATAAAACTAATCAAAAGCCTGAGTTTTGGTGTATCTGTATTTTGTAGATAAGCTTATCATACAGAGTATGTCATGCCAGGACAAAAAGGGAAAAAATTATGTTTTAACCTTTACCTCAGTGAAAGCATGTATTTGCTTCTGTGCAACTCCGTCCAAACTGCAGAAATTTTCCTGTCACTGAGACCTTGTTCAAATTTCGTTGATACTAGCTAACTCACTAAAATTACTTGAGAAGATGGACAAATTGGCAATGCAATTACAGAAAAGCACTTTGCCCCACAAAAACGGACTCCAATTTGTGTGTAATTCTCATAGGCACATTTAACCACACCACTTTCAGCTCTTGGTATTCCGACTATATCTTACCAGGTACTCATGCACTCCTAGGACCAAAACCCACCTAAACAATCCACCCAGCTTTCCCTTTTGGAGACAAAAATAAAACCAAACCTGATCTAATTTTTCCATTTGCTTCGTTTGCTTACACACATATAATTCAACCGAAGTTAGAGCTTTATCAATGTAAAATTGAAGCTAGGCTCCTGTAAATGATGGGGAAGTTTATCTTAAGCTAACACTTAAGACATGAAATAAAACTGTCTCAAAGCAACTACTGTGTTTAAAGATTTCACATCATGAACCCAAGTAATTTCAAATAGACAAAACAATGCAGTGTGCTTCCATAAAAACAGATTAGATGAGGTTGTATACTAAACAGCGGTCTCAACAAACACAACTGCATTGCAGAAATACATTTGAAAGACAAATGAAAAAGTTTTTAAAAACAGGACCTTGTTTCAGCATTTTGTTTCAAACATTAACAAATTCAGTAAGACTCACACACAACAAGTTTGTCAACCAAACGCTAATGCACTTGTTAGTAACAAAGGTGGAGCAGCTTTTCAGCACAAATCTTGATCTTCATTTGCAAGCAGCTAGCTTACTCTGTTCTCGAATAGGCTTAAAAAAATAGAATTGTATTTCTTTCTTAAAAAATCCACCTTGAACTGAATAAGGTAAGCTTCAGATATGGAACTATAAATACTGTCTCTAGTATCTTAAAGTACTTTCAGTCAAGACACAGTTACACTCTAGAAGCTAGTTTTTAGGTAACCGTAACTTAATTATTTGAGTCAACTCTGCAAAATGGCATATAGAAAATCTAACCCTTATGGAGAAAAAAAAACAACCAAACCTCCAAACACTGTCCTAATCTTTTGCCTCATTAAAGGCAAAAGGAAATCTGCATTTTATTTATTTTGAATAAATTAGATGTCCGAACCATGTTTGAACCTCAACATGGTCTTCTCCTTTACATCAAGAAAAATCTTGATACTAAACGAGTATTTATCAAACGGCATATGACCCACAAAAACTTTAAAGTACAGTCTTATTTTAACATATGTCCCAAACCTATATAACATTCATCATATTTCTACCTTTATAACAGTCATGTTTTTTTGCCCTGCAACTAAATACACGCATTTTTGTGCAAGTTGTTACGTATGTATGCAAGTATACACAAATGTAGTGTAACATAGTATTGCCTAATACATACACAGTAATACAAACTGGGAAGTAGGGGAAGGACTAATAGCAGATAGTTACATACAGAATCTAGAGCAGTTACGTGCTATAGGACTACTTCTTCATGTCCATCCTTTATGATTACACTTACAGGTAAATTACAATCTTCTTCAGCAAATTAAACCAGGAACAGGAAAACCTAATGAGATTAAAATGCTCTGAAAAATTTTACCTACACAGCTAGATCAGCGGTAGACTAATTTTTTAAATTATTTCTTATACAGCATTCAATCATATTAGCTGTACAGAAGTTTGCAAATTGCATCAATTAAAGATAAACAATAAACCCTTCATAAGTCATTAACAATCAGGATATAATTTATCAGTATTTTACATTAGTGTATCCTGTACCTGACATAGAAATAAACAAGTACATACCCTGCTCCAAAATCTCTTCCTCTTCTTTTTTGACTTGCTGCAGCAAAGAACTTTTATCACTATCCTTGGTTTCTGAAAAATGGATGTAGGATATGATGTTAACCTCTGTGCGTGAATGGAATTTAGTATCTTCCAACTGGGAAAAAAAGCCCTTCTGAAATGAACACTTGGTATTTTTATCTATCTACAGTAGTTGTACCAAATAGTGCAGCAGTGAAACAACTGGAATAAAAAAATTAAGATTTGTATTTTGCTACACAGACACACCAGTCAGATTACTTCTGGGTAATACTGCTGCTAGAACTTAAATGCCTCCTAGTGTTCAATACAAACATTTGATTCCTTCCATAACAAGGCAGGGGATCCAGAAAACCGTGGAAATGTTATGATTCAATTTAGTAGGAAACAGAAGATAAAGCAAATACTAACAAAGTGTTAATATAAATGGTATCTGGCATAGAAAAGAGGTGTATACCCAATCTTTTGGGTACACAGCTCATGTAGCTATAAAAGTATGTTGGAAACTGAAAGGTGACAATAGAAAGAAACAGACAAAAGACTATGACAAATATTTCCAACAAAACCAAGAGTAGAATCCCATGACGGTCTATAATTAATGACTTGAATTTTATTCAGAATTGTATCTCATTTGTTTAATGAAAATTTAGCATATCAAAGCAACATAGACAAATGCATCAGTGAGCAAAAAAAGACTGGAATAAAATGGATTTTTTTCAAGTTTTGTAAGTTTTTTTCACCTTCATGGTGTCCATGTGTCATCTTTAGCATATCAGACATGATTGGAATAGGAACATTTGCCTCCTGTGGTATATTTCTGAACATCTCAGGGTTTGCATTCTGTGTGCAGGTCATATACGAGACTGCATGCTTGGCTTCCATATAGTACATAATGTAAAAATTACACATTTCATCATTGGCTGTTCCCCTACATAACACAGAAAAGGTGCAGTAGTTAGGAAAAAAGGAGCTGGACAGAGCTGTTATTCAATTAATCTAACTTGCTTAACAGAGTATTAAACAGAAGCGGCAATGACGTTTAGTAGAAGTCCCACACTAAAACATTTAATAGCTTCATTGCATCGAATATCATAAGTTTCTTCCAGTACAATACCAGGCTGCACAAAATCCCCAATTATCTCAGAAGTTTCTAACAATTTGGGTTTGATTCTACAGAAAATTGCATCAGCTGTTTGAACTGCTCTTCTTTCCATCTCCCCAGTATTATCCTCATACTCCCCAGCATGTCACCTACTATGGACGTGTTCTGGTAAAATATGACAGACCTGCACCATTCATCATGCCAGCATTCATATACTCCCCTCTCAATCTGGGGCAAATGTAATTTAAAATCATTGCAAATAATGTTTATGTTTCATTTCAGCAGATATCTTTTATGACAGCTTTTCCCCCATGTTCAAATGAATCCATTTATTGGCCAATCATACTGGTTCTAATGCAGCAGAACTTAATTCCATTACATATTAGGACACCATAAATATCTCTTAAAGAGAAGACGGCACTGCAATCTTGAGAATAACTTGATCACAAGCTTTGTAAGGAAGACATGAGTGCAAGAGGAATGACTAAACACTAGAAAAATTCCATTCTTTGATAAATGTTGTGCACGCACTTGAAACAGGAGAGGCTCTTCTGTACTGCTACATAATTCTGTCTTCAACAGAAAAAACAGCTGGTATGAGAAAAATTTTCTTCTGAAAAATACTACTTTGTAACACAGACAACACAGGGCCTCTCTGCAACTATGATCTGTTCCTGCTTTTTTCCTTTGCCTTATAGGTTGATATATTTTATTTACAGCTACAATTCTGACAATGGAATAAGCTAGAGCTGTAAAGAAAGGTTTGCAAAATAAAGGCTTTTACATTCAGATTTTTTAATTAGCTTTCACAATTAACGAGTGAGCCTGCATTCATAAAAAGTTACGGGGGTGGCCTATTAGCTGTTCGCAAAAGACGTCAGTGGTGACTTTTCCAGCAGCATCCCGCAGCATTCATTTATTCACCATAGCAACATTAATGACACCAGCCAGAGGGGAGATATGGGGAACAGGGGAGAATAGACTATTTCAAAGGGGAATTGGTATTTTTCCATGCATTGAAAATTTAGCATCTCTTGGAGACTACAAAAATCAGACTCTGACTGGGCAAGCTCTGGTTAACCTTTTAGAAAGCATTAACTTCACTGTTAGCCTCCCAATATCTGTTACTATAATTGCCTCCTCTTTAACACTCTAGTAGAAAAGGGGATGTGGAACTCACATGAACTCTGGTTCACCTGACACATTACTGTGTCTAAAGAATTCAAAGTTGGTCCTTTTAAATACTTACAGTTACAAAAAAGAAAAAAAACCAACCGAACTCCATCAACAACAGTTTTAGTAAATTCACAGAAAACTCAGAATCCTTCTATTAGATATATGAACTCCTGAGAAACCCTGTTTCATGAACAAGTTTAATCTCTCTACTGAGATGCAATACTGTGGTGCTCAGTGCATTAAAGGTCTCATCCCTTGGGGTGCTCCAACACATACTTCCAGAACAGAGAGACTTCTGCAGGTTATCTTCATACATTTATACATGCAGCAAATTCCAGTGCAAAGAACTGAAGCCACTTAAGAGAATATTTTTTTGAATATTGCATCTATTTTTATAGTTCTATTTGTCAACTTGATCTTGCAGAGCTCTGTCTGTCATCTTCAACTGAATAGCATCCCTGACACACACAGTTCAGATTTTCCTATTGATCATTATTAGTCATTTATGGTTTTGTTTTGATAAAAGCCTGTATATTTTTATATTGAAATAATGGTAACTTGTGTGTTATTCCAAATTTTTAAATTCAGATTTTATGATGGCTCAAAATTCATCAGAATTTTATAAATTTCCATGAATTTTCTTCTGAAATAATGAAGAGAAATTGTGATGCTTTATTGTTTTGTTTTAACAGTCAGTAACTTCAGCTTATTAAAAACAGATTTTTTTAGACTTGATGAGTCCTTTAAGTGTACATTAGCCCAACACCTGAGTAAGGTGCTTGACAGCATAGCTTCTGAAGACTTCAGCAAAGTGAGGGCAATGAATGTTGTGTAGAGTTAAATATTTAGCAGAGTAGACAGCAAAACAGAACATTCTGGCAGAATTTAACAATTAGAATTATCTTGAATGGACAGATGAAACACATATATTTCTAAACATAACCAGTGACAGGGAGCAAATAGAGAAAATTTACCCTATATGCGTCTCTGTAGTTCTGCCTTCACCACTGAACACACATCTAGCTGCTAGGATATCATCATAGCTAACATCCACAAGACGTTCTACCGGATAGAATGCCTGAAAAAGAGGATGATTCATCCTAATCAGTGCAAGCATCTCATATTATTTACATCAACACCCACACACAATAATAACTGATACACATCTGAAAAGTGATTTCAGGATGGTTTGTGCATCGTAATGTAACCATGATAATGCTTGGCAATAATCACTTTCTACCGGCACAACACGTACCAGTGGAAACACCATGAGATATATCTATGGGTACATGACTGCCAATTCAGCTTCCCACTTTTAAATAATCAAAATTTATAGTTAGAATTAAAAAAACAACCAACCTGGGGCAGTTGTGGACTCTGTCTACCAATCAATGTCCATTGACCATTTCTCACTCTGTATCCACTCACTACTTTACCTATAACATACCAATATGTATGTGAACATGAGACATCTAAAAAAATATACTGTAGTGTTAGCATTTTTCTGTTAAGTATTTGATATTCCCACATTGCAATAAGACTCTTACCTAATCTGTGTGTATGAACTCTGTAGGCAAAAAGATGCATTGGAAACCTCTTGTAATGGCAGGCAATGTCTGCATCAACCGCTGTTAAAATACAATGGCAATAAACAAAGAAAAACACATTATTTATCAAAGAAAAGGTACACTACCGGATTTCATTCAATATGGTTTACAAAAGATATACCTACACTGGACAACATGTGATTTCAAATTATATTGGGTAATACCTTATGTATCTGCCATGTCTATCTGAAGACATCAAGTCACTTGAAAATGACCTTCTGTGATGTACATAAAAATTGGGACTGAAACTTAGTAGTATTTTTTCCAGCATATGCTACTGCCATTTAACAATGTAATACACTTGCTTACAGACTATGTAACACTTAAAAAAAGCTTAAAAGAGGGACACTGAAAATAAACATAGCTATGGTAAACAGTCTACTCAGGAGAAAATGAAAATAAACTGGTATCATTCTGAACTGATACAATTTACAATGAAGTCTTGATTGTAAGGTCTTACAGTTCTAGGCCCAGTTTTAAAGATTTAGAGTTAGATGCAGACTTTGGCAGAGAAGTGCTATACTTAGCACTATACTTGTGTTAGGAGCACTATAACTTGTGTTAGAGAGCTTCTTGTGCTGATGCCTCTCTGAGGCTGGCTGAGACAAATGCAGCCAGAAAGACTGGCTGCATTCTTCCTTTTATAACAAACTTCATGATTTTCTGAAGAACTGCAAATTTGATTGAACAGGAAGAGAATCTTATTCCCCTTTCCCTCCCCCCTTCAGCTGAAAAAGTAAATTTCTGCAATGATCAAATATCTTTTGGAGGCGATAAGGAGAGTGGTTTCATTTGATGAAGCCATCATATTGAAAAGCAAATTCTGTTAGGTTTCAATTCAAATTAAAAAAGATTTCAAGTTGCTGAATTCACTGAATGGATGAAGTCAGCTGAGCATTTGACCACCTCATCCTATTTAGGCAGTTAACTGCAAATGGAAAAAATGGTGTTCTCACGTCTTATTTAGAATGCCAGTTTACCATAAGAAAATGATAAGTCAGTGTTCGAACTCCATGGAACAGAACATTCCATGCTAGCTTGAAGAAATGATACTGGGACTATACAAGCTGAGTTTCAGATAAAATCCACTGAGTAGGATTCCGAATAGAAACTGGGAACTTTGTTGTACAATGTTTTTTTAGCATTTTGACCTTTTAACCATTTAGAAACATCTGAAGAAATTCTTTAAAGAACAGTTCCTTACTGGTAGAAATTAATTTATTAAAACTGAAGTCTTGTTAAATCGCAAATAGCATGACTGGCAAATACAGATGAAGAACAGTTCAAAAAATTTTATGTGTTTTTTTTGGTGGGAGGGAAGGAATAACAAAATAAATAGGGCTTTTTTTGCAAACTATTAAGACAAAAACTAAAAACTTCTGCAACATGGATCACTTTTGCTGATGCAGGTATCAGGAAATATGATACAATTTTAAAATTATAAATATTTTTGTCATCTTTTGTTTAATTTGTCCATCTACAATTCAGCGAGTCTCTGCTAAATTTTCTTCCCCAATAGGCAGTAAAAGGAAAGCAGATGCTGAAATTACACTATCACTTTGTAGAATTACAACTCACCTTTCTCACCTGGCGGTATTACAGTGTTCACAGACATCATAAGATACATTCCAGCAATCAAAGGCTGCCTGCAATTCAAAACTCAAGCTGTGCTAATCAAGTCCTTTTCAAAACATGACTGCAAGTGACACGATAGGCAATACCATTTACCACCACTAATCTCTAAATGTTGGATTATGCCTGAAACTGGTTTACTGAGAAAGCAGATGATACACAGTGCTTCCCTTTCCAAAAAAATCATACAAGCTAAAATTTTTAAAGCAGCTTCTACAAAACATGTGAAAAATAACATGATCATCTACATCATTTCTGTCCTTGTCCCAGATTTCTAAATATGAAGTTATTAAACTGGATTAACTCAGTACTCACAGCATTGTTTCATCAAGTTTCTTAGCAGAAACAAATTTTTTGCCAACAGATGACATATAACTTCAAAATTATTAATATTGTGACATATTATTTTTATTTTACAGGTTTTCAAAGGAATCTGAAGGAAGGGTTTCCATTCTGTTCTAATGAAAAAAAAATTGTAACATTTAAGTATTTTAAAGATACTTACTTCTGATGTGTCAGATGTAAAGATACACCAGAGCAGTCCTTGTGTTTGTCTGTACAAATCACAAAATGGTTTAACCATTAACAACTGAACCCATATAAAATTATTGCACATTAATAACATTATTCTGGTATATAAAAAATACCGGAAGACAAAATAAGTTTTAATCCTATTGTTTGCAGTAGAACTTTCATACTACGGAAACATCACTCAAATTTGCACACACTCAAATCTACCGCATGCAAAGAGTTGTGGTTAGTGGCTCAATGTTCAGTTGGAAAGTAGTAACAAGTGGTGTCCCTCAGAGATCAGTGTTGGGACCTTTCTTGTACAACATCTTTGTTGGTGACATGGACAGTGGGATTGAGTGCGCCCTCAGCAAGTTTGCTGACGACACCAAGCTGTGTGGTTCGGTTGATACGCTGGAGGGAAGGGATGCCATCCAGAGGGACCTGGACACGCTTGTGAGGTGGGCTGATGCCAGCCTCATGAAGTTCAACCAAGCCAAATGCAAGGTCCTACACCTGGGTCGGCACAACCCCAGGCACAGCTACAGGTTGGGCGGAGAAGAGATTCAGAGCAGCCCTGCAGAGAAGGGCTTGGGGGTGGTGATTGATGAGAAACTTGACATGAGCTGGCAGTGTGTGCTTGCAGCCCAGAAAGCCAACCGTATCCTGGGCTGTACCAAAAGAAGCATGACCAGCAGGTCCAAGGAGGTGATCCTGCCCCTCTACTCTGCTCTTGTGAGACCTCACTTGGAGTACTGTGTACATTTCTGGTGTCCTCAACATAAAAAGGACATGGAGCTGTTGGAGCAAGTCCAGAGGAGGGCCATAAGGATGATAATGGGGCTGGAGCACCTCCCATATGAAGACAGGCTGAGAAAGTTGGGGGTGTTCAGCCTGGAGAAGAGAAGACTGTGTGGAGACCTCAGAGCAGCCTTCCAGTATCTGAAGGTGCCTGTAAGAATGCTGGGGAGGGACTCTTCATTAGGGACAAGGGACACTGGGTTTAAACTTAAATAGGGGAACTTTAGATTAGATATAAGGAAGAAGTTCTTTACAGTGAGGGTGGTGAGGCACTGGAATAGGTTGCCCAAGGAAGTTGTGAGTGTGTTCAAGGCCAGGTTGGACAGAGCCTTGGGTGACACAGTTTAGTGAGTGGTGTCCCTGCTCATGGCAGGGGGGTTGGAACTAGATGATCTTAAGGTCCTTTCTAACCCAAACCATTCTATGATTCTATGAAATCTGAACACAATGCTGCATTAGTAGAAAAATCCTAATATAGAGCAAAACTAGTGGATGAATAACTGCTTTTTTGGCATTAGATACTATAGATCTTTATGCAACAGCATCTGTGAGATGAAAGAATGTCATTTTTACAATAGCAGGAAAAGTTGCTGTGCTTCAAACAAATCTGTGTTTTGAAAAAAGCTACAAAAATTTGTTGAAAAGTAATGGTTTCAGCCATTAATAACGAAGCAGCAGAAATACTTGTAATAAAGTCAACAGGTGAATTTGAGATATCAATACAGACAGCAGTTCTGTTTAACAATGGATATGCTAGAAGAACAGTAAAACAATTAATTTGTTAATGTACCGTACCAGAATTATCTGATGTGTTTGACATTTTAATTTAAATATACTGAAGACTTGGTAGCTACTCTATTTTAGTTGGTGATCTGGAAGTTCAATCTTCACTTTTTTTTCAAGAAGTTCCCTTTCTTATGTTTAGAAAAGAGCTCTAGTTAGAAGATGGCTGTAACTCCAAAGTGGCTAAACAGAAAATGCTGAAAAAATACCCTATAACAAGTGATAACTTGGGAGAGATTTTCTTCCCATCAGTAGTAAGATTCAGAACTGAAAAAAACAGTGCATTTGAACAGAAGAAAGGATAATGACTAGAGTGGGACAAAACAGAGACTTTCCAGTTTAAAAATATCAGTTTAGTTTTTTCAAACATTAGCTATTTTAGTCACACCATGTTTCATTATTAAAGGATAATATTAAGTTTGGGTTTTACCACCATTAATACTAGAATTTAATTCCAATATGTTCACTAAGTAGAAAGTTACTATTTTTACAAAATGTACAAATTAGTGCATATGTTATGCAATTGAAAAAATTGCTACCCATTTCACTAGGTTCTTACAGTGCTCATCATCACAGCATCTGAGAATTCTTAAGTTTCTCCAGCTTTGTGTGTCCTAACAAACACTTCTGTCTTTAAAAATCTGAACCAAAAAATCACAGTTGTACTTTTACAAATAACAACAGAAAAGGAAGTCTTCATTATATACATGGAAGAAAAATTACAGAAGTAGCCCTTTGACTCTACACTAGTGGGTAGACTACTCACTACTGTAGATGCACTGAATGTTTGGAAAGCATGTCTCTTGGGAATTCTTGAAACCAAGAGTGATGAATCAGAAGGAAAGTAGCTGAAAATTCAATTGGTAGTCTTGAAAAACAAGTATACCCTTTCAACGCAGATGGGATTTCTGATGGTCTTTGTCGACTATATGTTATACTGCCTGAAACTCAGAGAGTTTGGTACCTATATTCTGTATAAAGGATTGAATATGGGTATGGCAGAGTACTGACAAATTCACTTGCAATTACACTGGAGTATTTTAAGACTACATAGGTACTAAAATCCAAAGCTAGTCAGTCAGCCAGTGTGCTGCTGTACAATCCACATTTTCTGTTTTACAAAAAAGCCAAATAAAAAATATGTTGTAGAAGATCTTTTCATTACAATAACATACAATCCTATATATCATTTTTATGCAAACATGCATGTTTGTACAGAAAAATAGTAGCCACTAAAAGAATAAAATTTAAGCTAAAAATTCTCCAATTTAAAGTGCAGTCATTAAAACATTTAAAAAATAGTCTTCAAATGTTTATTGTTTTTTTTAAAAGTTACTTGTTAAAAATAAGAAATAAAAAAATAACAATTACTTATCACATGGTAAGTAGGGAGGTGGTGGCAGAGAGGTAAGGAAAAAAAAAGTTGAAGGAGAGAGAGAAGGCACAGAACCAAATAATAGACTAAGTTATAGCAGATAAGGAAAAATACAAAGTCAAGATACAGTCAGCACTGGCTAAAGACAGGAAGAGAAAACAAGAGAAAACAAAGTTATGCCATACCAGAATAAGCACTAATTTTCAATCACAGATAGCAAATGTTGTTTCCAAATGGCCAAGTCATGAACTGAAAAGCACCCCAAGGACTAAGCTATGAGGGCAGAAGTAGGGAAATGGTTGGAAAACATTCAAGAGAAAGAAATTAAATTATTTGTCCATGGTTTTAGAAAAACGTTCAAGATACGCATATACTGTTCATCATCCTCTACTCTTCAGTGTAGGAAGCTTCAATTACAATCTCAATAAGGGTCTTCGTGAAGTCTCTTTTGCCCCTCTGCTCCTTGTTTCAAACCAAATTTTTTTACTATATTTTTGGCTATTCATGTAACACAGGTGATGCTGCAAAATTCAGCTTTGTAAGCTTAACACTATTAGAGAGTTTGCACTACATAAATTTTAATGGAAGTTGGGAAATGCTTGCTTCCTCAGAACATTTCATTTTATTACTTAATGTCATTTAAAATTTTAAAATTTAAAATTCAGTCAATAATTTTGTGTCTCTCAGTTTTTCAATTTGCAGTTCAGAATATCATCACTCTACCTTTTAAACACTGCTGAAAAACTATCCCAAAACAACAAACTCAAACTTAACATGCCAAACATTACTCATGTTCGAAAAATCTAACCCTTACTGTGTCATTGAGTCTTTCTTTTAAAACAGTGCTGTGGGAGGAAGGAAATTACTCCAATATATTTCAGTTTGCCAGTATTAAAGTGTTTTCATACTGTTTAAATTTTCAGACTATTGAAAAAATTTTCATTCAGCATTTAAATCTAAATTGAGTAATTTCAAAATGAACTGAAGACTGGGAAATTTATTATTGCTACTATACAAGGCAATCATATTAATCATATTATCAGGAGAAACAAATCAACTTCTGGTGCAAGAACCTGATCTGCAGTGCTGTATCAAGAGTAAAATAATGGATACATAAATTGGTCTAGGCTTCTAAGAAATTCTTGCACCATGTTATAATCTTGTCTGTGGCTATATTTAGCCATGACTGAGCTAAACATTTTTCTAACAGTTACAGAGGTATGCTTGAAATGCTGTTTCCTTGCTTCTTCCCTACAGCTGGCCTCCTTGAAACACTGAAAGCTGCTAAACCCTCCATGCAAGAATGCTGACTGCAGTGAGGTCGTGCTTGTTCCCCATGCAAACTCTTTCCAAACTTTGCTGTGTGACTGAAACAAAAACATCCTCAATGCACAAATCAAACAGAAGGTGACCCATCTGGCAGAGGTGGGAAATGCAGCAGACATTGTCTATTTGAACTTCAGTAAAACATTTGACACTCTCCCACAGCATCCTCCTGGAGAAACTGTCTGCTCATGGCCTGTGTAACTGTATTCTTCACTGGGTAAAGAAGTGGCTGGATGGCCAAGTGCAAAAAGTGGTGGTAAATGTTGTCACATCTGCTTGGCAACTGGTCACTGGTGTTGTCTCTCAGGGCTTGGTATTAGGGCCAGTGTTGTTTAATGTATTTACTGATGATCTGGATGAGGGGACTGAGTGTACCATCATTAAATTTGCAGATGACACCAAGCTGGGTGGGAGCATTGATCTGCTGAAGGGTAGGAAGGCTCTGCAGAGGGATCTGGACAGGCTGGACTGATGGGCTGTGGCCAATGGCATGAGGTTCAACAAGGCTCAGTGTCTGGTCCTGCACTTGGGCCACAACAACCCCATGCAATGCTCCAGGCTTGGGGCAGAGTGGCTGGAAAGCTGCTCAGCAGAAAAGGACCTGGGGGTGCTGTTTGCGGAGCTGAACATGAGCCAGCTTGTGCCCAGGCAGCCAAGAAGGTCAATGGCATCCAACCTAGTTGAGTCTATGATCCTATGAAAATCTTAAAGTCTCCTTTCAAGTCTGTCAGTCCAGCTGACTGGAATTACTTTGATTTGTTTCCGCTATCTAGCAAATATGCACTGCCCTGGGACAAGTAAGTTACTAGTTAATATTTGCCAGGTGGCAAAGACTGGAAAAAGTTTTTATATACCTCAGAAACAGGTTCAATGAAAGCCAATTTCAAGGCAGTTTCCAACCCAAATGAAACTAGAAGCTGTGCTTATGATTGTGTTTTGTGTGCTGTGCAAATATAACACAATCATATTAAATATTCCCTGCTTTTATTTACCTGTGTAATCTAAAATCAATGCTGCATGTTAAACAGTTATATTAATTAGAAAGAATGACCTGTGCTACTCCTGACAAATCATGTTTTCTAGGAGAAATATTTGAAATACTAGAAATAACAGTTTGTCAAATGGAACACTCATAACTGAGAAGCCGAACTATCCTAAACAGAAATGCTCTCTTTCTGTAGACTGATTTTGATAAAACTTCCAATCCAAGTTCAACAGGCTTCCCGTCTGTCTGTCTATCCCTTTAGTTACATGTATGATTATCTGCCATGGAAGCTGAGATTTCTAGGGCTTCCTAGATACTTAAAATTCTGTGGTTTTTTTACCAAGAAGACGACTTCAAAAGCTATCTTCTTTGCACTCTGGGTACATGGATTATAAATTGTAGGCCACACTGTTCAAACTCTTTATTCATTTCTTTCAATGCTCTGTTTCTAGTATTTAATAGAAACAGTACAGTACTCATACATGGCTACTAAAATACCTAAAAGCTTTCACTGTAACAGAATGGTGCTTGGGTTTTTTTTTTTATGAAGCTCCAAACCCCTTGTTATTTCAAAGTCAGCCCTTTGATTTGTACCAGAATCTCCACATACGGTCTCAGAATTGACTTTGCTTCATTAAAATAAGAACTAGCCTCAAACCTAGAGCACAATCTCTGAGCAAGGCAATTCCAAAGCTAATACCCATTGGGAATTAGTTTTATACAAGTTATATTTAAAAAGAAAAAGACATATAGCACAAAATCTAACTTGAAGTCTTGGTAAAGAAAGAGACAAACTCAATATGCTGCTTTCAGTATGTGATACATAAAAGAACACTAGCTGAGTCAGTGTTTTTTCATGAGAGTCAAGGTGCTTGCTCCTGCTGATCTGTTCACTCATCCAGAATCTCAGCAAAATTGTTTTTAAAAGTCTACTAACATGAGAATGAAACTCTACCTTTATTCAGTCTGTGTAAAACAAAATGCAGGCACAGATTCCCTGGTGCCCTTTTCACACCTTTCCAAATAGAAAAGAGGCGAACAATTGTTGATCCTGATCTGGTATAAATTTTTTGGCAAATAAATACCTTGTACAGGTCACAGATGACTGATTTCCTGAAAGGAGATCATAACATACCACGGACAGGAATATGCGGAATTAATTTTCCTCAAGGCACCAATGTTAAGCCTTCTGGTTATCAAAGAGAAGCACATGTGCTCAAAATAAGGTAGATTATTTTTCATTTTAAAAATAAGGTATCAGACTATGAAGTAAAAGGCACTGAAATAAAACAGAAGGCTTTCTGTCATACTCTTTAACCTCTGAAAGAGTACATGAAACTAGTATCTCCAAAATTACAGTCCACGCTTCTTAAACTTTCATAATTTTGCAGGTTTATATCTATGACATTGATCATTCTAAGCCCTGCACAGATATTCTAGCCAAAAAATAAGGAAGGTGTTGCTGTAAAATTAAGTTTTGACTACCAAGTTAATTTACTAACAAAACTTTCCAAGTACATCCTCAACTAATATGCAACAGAGGGTACTGATCTCATTATTTCTTTTTTCTTTTTTTACTTAAGAGTGAAAATGAACAGTAAGAACTCTCACTGTCCCCAAGCAATAATGAAGAGTAGGCTCTCAACTATCATGCTCTCTTTAGAGGTTTTTAGCTTCAATTATTTGTGATTTTAGCAGACAAAGAATCTCACTGGCTGTAGTGATCCATCTGAATTTTCCCATGAAAATAAATTCTTCCAACTTCAGTTGCACACATCTGCATACGTTCTCCATTCAAACAGTGCTAGCACCATCAAGTTTATTCCTTCCTCATCCTCCTTTTCTTCCTCCTTCTCATTACCATTAATGTCTTCATGCTACATTTTTTTATCTTTATACCATGGTAGAAACCATACCTTCAGCTTCAGACAGTGCTGCTGAAAAATCTGAGTATTGCAGAAACCTTGCCAGCAGTATACAGAAGAAAGTCTGCATGGCACCAAGAAGATACCAACTACAGGCTAACTTCTTTGTCCAAACCAGTTACACTTGTTGATCATTTACCATGGTACCACAGAAGGGTTCAGAGGCCGTTAAGTGTAGCTCAGACTACTGGTGTAATGCATATTCCTCCTTTATTTTTTTGCTGTTATCCAGGCTACTCTTTCAAGTCCAACATGTTGATTATCACTTAGCCCATGAGGATCTTCACATTCTTGTTTAAACCCTACACAGTAATGTATCACAACCGAGTTCCAAGAGAATGACGACCCACAGGTTTTTATGCTCTTGAAGGCCAGACAGGCCTTAACCCAGAACCACCACACAGGATGTGATTCACAGAGTGGAAATAAGAATTCACGCATCTCAAAGATGTCAAAACAAGACATTTCAGGTTTAAAGAACAAAGCACAACATGAAAGATAAATAAATAAGTAAATAAATAAGTAAATACAATTAATCTTGTCTCCCAAAGTTGAAGACAATCATACCTCAATAATGAAATCCAAATTTCATTAAACCAATATTGTAATGTATGGACCGGATGAGCAGACAATGAGGTGGACTGAAAACTGGCTGAATGGTTAGGCCCAGAGAGCGGTGAGCAGTGGTGCAATGCCTAGTTGGAGGATGGTAACCAGCAGTTGTACCCCAAAGGTCAATACTGTGTCCAGTCCTGTTCAATATCTTCATTAATGACCTGGATGACAGGCAGAGCTCACCCTCAGCATGTCAGCTGATGACGCCAACCTGGAAGGAGCGCCTGATACACCAAAGAGTTGTGCTGCCATCCAGAGGGACCTTGGCAGGAGGGACAAATGGACTGACGGGAACCTCAGGCTGTTCAACAAGAGGAAGTGCAAAGTCCTGCACCAGGGGAGGAACAACCCCAGGCACCAGAACATGCTGGGAGCAGCCCAGCTGGAAAGCAGCCTGGCAGAAATGGATCTGGGGGTCCTGGTGGACACCAGGCTGAAGATGAGCCAGCCATACACCCTTGCTGCCAAGAAGCTTAATAGCGTCCTCAGCCAAACTGCTGCCAGCAGGTAAGGGGAGGTGATTCTTCCCCTCTACTCAGCACTGGTGAGGCCATGCCTGGAGTGCTGGGTCCAGGGCTGGGCTCCCCGGTATGAGAGAGACATGGATGTCCTGGAGAGTCCAAGGAAGGGCCACCAAGATGATCGGGGGACTGGAGCATCTCTCCTAAGAGGAGACAGCTGGAAATGTTAGGCCTGGAGAAGAGAAGGATTGGGGCGAGGAAGAATCTTACCCATGTACAAAAGCACCTGAGAGGAGGGTGTAGAGAAGATGTAGCCAGGTTCTTTTTAGTGGTGCCCAGTGACAGGACCAGAGGCAATGCGCACAAACTGAAACACGGGAGGTTCCTTCTGAACATGAGGTAACACTTTTTCACTGTCAGGGTGACTGAGGATGGGCACAGGCACAGGCACTTCTAGAGATATCAAAAATCCACCTGCATATGGTCCCAGCAACTGTCGGTTGCCCGTCTTGAGTGGGGATTGGATGATTTCACACAACCTTAGGCATTCTGTGGCGTGTGAAATACTCACTGACAACATAAGCATATTGTCATGCTTAAAATGAGTGTTTATTTCTTTTTTAATATGAAAATACACCATCCACTAGTCACAACTTTTTCCAAACACAGATACAGTGATTGGCCACTGCATGCCATCTTTCTCACCAGCTATTCAATTAAGGTGACAGGTTAAGGGTGTTCACAGGTATTTGTTTCAACTTTTTTAAAGAAAATCAAATTCAAGAGAACTGAATTATACAGGGAAAACCAAGTTTCTCCCTACACTTCACATTATTGCTTCTTCCTTACTTTAAGTCATTTGCTCTATATTTTTTGAAGCAAAAAAAATCTGTTCATCTTTTAAATATTTACAGAGATAGACCAAGTTTATAAAGAAGTCAAGTTAATAGATGAACTTTATTATAAGTATGCTCACTGATCTTTACCTTTGTAAGTGACACTCACATGAAAATTCTTTTCTACAGGTAATGTAAATATTTTCAATGCTTTAACTTATATAACTTACAGAACAAATTTCTAAAATACATACCTCTAAATGCACTAATATCCCCATAGTGCACCTGGAGCACAAAAAATCTGCCACCTGTTTCTCCTCCAACTCTGAATCCAACACCTAAGAGAAGGAAAATACATTGTTTTCAGAGGCAATAAAGCATATCTAAAAATACAAATCACTGTAATAGCTTAGAGTGAAGGGGTAAAAAATTTCACTGAGACAACAGTGAAGAAAACATCGTCCTGAAAACTGGGAAAACAACCTTCACAACACATGTTCTCAAATAGACTAAGAAGCTAAGACCATAACTTAAACAGGTATTTGCTTTAAGCAAAGGAGTCTCTCAATCCAAGAATACGAATACAGATTTGAGATATATATACAAAACCCCACTATATATATATATAATAAATTAAATTATGAAGTTTTGCCATCTTTGTAGGATTTGGTAGAAATCTCGCTTCTCATGCAACCTGTGAATGATACAAGCTGATTAACACTGACTTACCAAGAACACACTGAGAATGAAACGATAAAAAGATCTGCAGTAAAATATTTTTTATATTAATTATGTAAATTAGTGTTGTATGCAGAAAAAATCTGGAAGAAATTACGAAGCTATGTTACTTATAGACAGAAGTAAGCACAGACACAGAAGAAAACAGAATTAAGAATTAACCTGAAATAATGAAATTGTGAAATATCACCAACAGGAATTTCTCTGAACTGATTCTACAGTGAAGAAATTTCTTCTTATTTGGTTACTGAATCCCACCGCCCACAGCAAAGCCTGCTTATAAATCTGACTGCAGCCTCTCTGCACACAAATGTAGACTAACGCTCTCCATAAACCTTGTATTTATGGACAGTTTACAGACAAGAAAATTGTTGCTAGTTGGTGTTTAACAGAAAAGCTTTCATAGAATCCTCCAAGCAAAATTATTTTCTTACTTGACATTCTGATCACCAAATCAAATAACATTTGTGCTGGTAAGTGTATAAACGGATTACTAAAAATAAACCTTTTCATGAGGTGCACTGCTCCTGGTTATGAAAAGCGGCAGCAAAAGATCAAATAAAAAATGTGTATAATTTAGAGTCTTTTCAGACCAAGGCTGTATAGATGATAGGTATTTCTAGGACTCTTAGCATTTATTAGAAAGAACCACTTCTCCTATCTTCTAGACGTACCACTACAAGTAGCTTAACAAATTCTGATAGAATTCAGCAAAGTCATCTATCATACAACAAAATGGGTATGTAAACATATTGCTCAAGCACATCAAAGCATGAAGAAATGAAAAGCACATAAAGATGTCAAGCATACTTAAGACACAGAAAAAATTCAGTATTTAGACTGAACTGTTTGCGCTTTCCCAAAACACACCAAAATATTTTAATGTGGTTTGTGTGCTACTGTGTACTGAAAGATAAACAGTATCCTTCCAATAACATACTGTAGAAAATGCAAGATTAACGTTATATAAAAATAAAGCATTATATTATGACCATTATGTCTACCTTAGCCTTTTTCACCCCTACTGAAACCCATAATGTTATAGCAAACAGGATGAAAAAAAATCCCAAACCCTAGTATTTTAGCTAGTTTATTTATAGTGTATGAGGTTGATGTTTATACAGTTTTGACTAAACATAATAAAAATATACAAGGTTCCTATATATGCCAGGTGCTTATTTCCACATCCTCTTCTCTCCCTTGCCCCGGCACACAAGAACTTCACATTAAAGGCACAGTACCTTTGGGTAGCCTGGTGGGTGGCGCATTTCTTGCCCAAGCATACAAAATATTAGATTTGTCTTTGCATGTTCCTTCATCACAGTCCCTAAAAACATGGGGGAAGAAAACAAAATGGAATACGATTTTTTAATTTTTAAATCAGAAAAGGGCAGGTGAATTACATGCAAACCCACTAATTTTAAGATATATGGAGATGGTTTTGGATGTATGTTGATTAAGCTCTTTTAATGTAGATTGTTTTCCCAGATATCATTAGATCCTTCATCTTCTTTTGGTTTTCCCTCCCTCTGCCTTATAATAGTGTTAGGCAAATAGGGTCAAAACCACAGAGAGTTCTGGTAGTCCCTATCAGACCAGTAGTCAGTGATGAAAAAAAATAAAGGAACCTTTTGTGAGAATGAACGATATGAAAATTTATAGCACTATTAGCTCAAGTGCCAAAAAATGACAACAGCTGCCACTTTTACACAGAGGGACTGGACTTGTGCACAAAGCAGAAAGAAACACATAAGACATCAAAGTTTTAATTCAAAATTGATATTTAAAACTCACTGAAAAATCATTGACAAAAAAAAAAAGGAAGCTATATACGGACCAGCTGGTAGGAGGTACTCATGCTCTTCTTCCCTGTACTTAATGCAAGCTCACTGCTTTAAGTTAATTTTATTCCACTGCACAACTTCTTGTTTTCCATAAACAGAAAAATCACACATACATACACACACACACACACAAACAAACAAGTTACAGACCACAAACAGGTCACAAATATTTACAATAACTGAGAGCTCCAGAGTTGTCCCTAGCCTCTGCAACGCCTTGCAGGCAACACTAAGGGTGGACTGTGAAAAACTTCCAAAGACTCTTAAGCTCTAGATACCTTGAACCTGCAAAACCCAGTAAACCTGAACCAGACACTACCAGATCTGCAAAAGGCCAGTCAGAAACAGTTGTACAGACAGCATAATGTACCTGGACCGCAGCCAAGACAGCTACATGTAGGTGTAGGTTACACGATGATATAAACAAACAAGTATCCCTGAGAGGCTTTCCAAACACCCACGCAGAAGCACTTCTCAATCCTCTATTAGAGAAAAGGGCTATTTAGAGTGTATTTGTACCTTCTTCACTGGCAGAGCATTGTGCCACTGAGCACAGTGTGAAAGTAATTCTGCACGTGCAGCACACATAGGCATGCAACTAGAAAGCCTCAACCTCAAACTATTCAGACTACACCAAGTGATCCAAGAAGGCTGATACCCATGCAAAGACTTCAATCCAAAACAAAATGGTACAGCCCCTTCTCTGTTTACTACCGCTGGTAAAACCTGGGTAGGACCTGGGAAAACGTTTTTACACATAAAGTGCAGTTTCAGTCATATTAAATCCTGGGGAAAATAGTCTCATGCAGTGCAGAGTGAGGAGAAGCATTAGAACATAAAAGACCATGACTTTTAGTGAATGCAGGCTCAGTAACATTTTTGTTGAGGATGCGTGAGCCATATCTGCCACCTTCCAGAACAAGTGATGATGATGCTTTCCAGGCTGCTCTCCCAGGAATAATCAGCTCTTCTGGCACATATGGAAAACCACCTCTGTGGAACATTACGCATTTCTGGGATCCCAGGCAGCCTTACTGCAACATAGCTGCTGTGGTTTCCTCTAACAGAAAGCATTGCCATAATCATCAGACTACCAAGAGAAAAGGGAACGTGCCACTTTCTTCTTTTCATTAATGTTGCTCATAACACATCTAGACCTTCACAGCTAGTAGTTTGGTCATCTTCCCCTTCAAACATGTCCCAGTGGACAGGCAAAACTCATTTAAAGATTAAGTGAAATGATTCATGCAGCTGCAGGTAAAAATTGCACAGCTTTCAACTGCTACAATCTCAAAAATCCCAAAGGGATCTAACCAGGTACTGAGCTACTTGGTTTGGAAATGTATTGAAGAGACTGGTTAGGAGGAACAACAGCAGAAACCACAAGCACAGCTGCAGTTTTACCACCACATTCTGGGCCTGCTAGCCTTCGCTTATACCGCAGTATTTTTTAGAACCACATAAGCTAGGTAAGAAAGTGCATAGGCTGTTCCAAACTTTCCTCCTGAGATGCTGGCTGATGGAGGGGGAATACTTTAGTGAAGGAAGATGAAATACATTACTCTTTCATTATGCTTTAGAAATGGTCAACCCTCACATGTAGCCATCGACACTGTTCCTGAAACATCAAGCTTTCAGAAAAAAAACAAACCTAGAGGAGGCTACGAAGAAGAGTTAGGATAACTGATGAACAGATTTAAAACCAGGAAGGTAGTAAAAGTATACATTTACAAACAAATAACAAATAAACAATCACTGCAGTTCATAATTTCTTTACATGGAAAAAACCAATCAGATTCTTAGCAGAATCAGATGGCTGACTGCTTCTCACATCTTTGGTTTTTACAAACTCCCCTGGACTTTCCAAAGGCATTCTGCTCAATTTTGGGTAAGTTCAAGAGCTGGGTCTTTTAATGGCACTGAGGTTTTGACCAAAATATTTCAATATGTGAGCAAGACCAGTATTTGGCTATTCTTTTAGGATATTTGCATTGCTATGGGCAGTGACGATGCTAAGAAACTACACTCAGAAATACAATTTTTTTAGTTTCCACTGTCCTCTACGCAATGAAATACAAGTATTTCACTGAACTAGTCTTGACATCTTTTGGAACCTTTTCTGAACTACTGATGTCAAAAGTTTCCAAAACCATGCCAGCAGAAGCAGAGGAATTATTGGGTGGTTACCTATGACATGTACTTATAAATTTATTTAGATTAGGTAACTATTTCAAGCTGCCCTGCCTAATCTCAAAATAAAGGCTATGTCTATGAATCATCTCATTCAAAAGAGCTCATTTCAGTGTTAGGTTTGACGCAGTGCAAGACCTGTCTTGCCAGAAGACTCAGAAGTTCTGAATAATTCAACATTTTCTTTTAAATCATTCAAGTGTATTCTTGGCTATCTATGGAGAATCCAACCTTCCAATGAATCAGCTCAGGCATGCTACTTTGATTTCAGCAGAGTTTATCAGCTCAGGCAAAACTTCTTGTTGTAGTGGATGAACTGTTCTTAAGGCTATTATGATCAAGAAACACCTTTCAGATGACAAAGGATATTTGCATGAGTAGCATCAAGTCACCAGAAAAGCTACCAGGCCAGAGTGGCACCTCAGAGTCTGCCTCCGCACTGCTATGGGCACAAGGCAGCGAATCCCAACAGAGTTATCTGGATGCTGTATCTTCCCTCTCCCATTTTTCCACATTCAAAACTGGCCTGAATAAAACTTCACGCCTCAGGCAAACCAATTTTGCCCTTGCATTCTGATTGCTCCTAAAAGACTATTTTTTCATAATACACCTACTCCACAATGGCATGAAAAATACTTCTTGAGCTAGTACATTTCAATGTTCTTTCAACTGATTACAAACCATCTGGGTAATGTTGCCCAGAATTTCAATGAAGAAACTACAGTAAGGCAAAAAACCCAATATGGTATACCTTAATTGAATAAAAACTGGCTATGCAAAAATGTTCATCATGTAAACTGTAAGGGAATGATCCTTGCTGAACAAGATTTATAGTGGTGTCCTCAAATGTCAGTTCTCAATCAATCATTCTGTCCCTAGGACACAGAAGACCAAGTGAAGTCATCACTTATTAGTCTGCAGGTAACAAAAATAACAAATAATAATAAAACACACCCCCCCAAATATGTCTCAATGTTAATACACAGTCATCAGACCTTACTTTAATTAAATTAGTGCTAGTGGCTGAAAGACTCTAGCATATGTAAACTAGTTGGAAAAGACTTGCTTTTAAATTATATGTACTCTTTGTGATGACTTGCAAACATATGCAACAGTTTCTACATACCTGAACATTTAAATGAACATGTTTATAACATAGACATTTATAGGTATACACATTTATATGTAAACACACACATATGTCTTCACACATATATACTACATAAATTATATACACACATGGATACATAGCAAAGGGGCATTTATGTGAGCTTATGTACATATCTCAAACAGGCATAAATGCAGCCATAGAACAGACATGATCATCTTTCTAGCCTTGCAGATAGCCATGGCAGAGCAAGATGAAATGCTCCAAACTGTTGCAGCAACAAGGATGTGAATTTATGAGATACTGCATGAAAAGCTTTTATTTTGAGAATGTAAAGCAAACACTGCAGTTCAGGAACTACATACAAAAAATTAGCAAGACTTAATCAAAACCTGCATATGATAAACTGGAACTATCATATTTAAATACAACACTATTGTATTGGATCTGGCTGAAATGGAGTTAGTTCTTCCCCACAGCAGCCCTCATAGTGATGCGTTTTGGTAGCTAGCAAGGTGTTGATTAACACGCCAGTTTTTGGCTGCTGCTGAGCAGTGCTTGCGCAGCATCAAGGCCATCTATTCAACATTTCCCCTTAACAGTAGGCTGGGGGTGGGCAAGATCTTGGGAGGGGACATAGCCAGGACCCAAACTGCCAAAGGGGTATTCCATATCACATGATGTCTGCTCAGCATAGAAATCTAAGAGAAAGAGGGGCAGGGGGTCATCCGTTATTACAACATTTGTCTTCTGAAGCAATCACTACACATACTGGAGCCCTACTTCCAGAGAAGTGGCTGGAGATTGCCTGCTGATGAGAAGTAGAGAATAAATCTTTTGTTTTCCTTTGTTTCTGCTTTACTAACCTGCCTTTATCATGACCCATGATTTTTTTTTTCCATCTTATTTTTTGCCCCCACCCCAGCTGAGGGGGAGAGCAATAGAGCAGCTTGGTAGGCACCTGACATCCAACCAGTATCAAGCCAGCGCAACTAATTACGTGCTTCATCATTTGGCAGGTAGCTGTTAAGTACTGCAATCAAAACCAAAAGCAACATTAGCTGCCACACCACACAAACTGCCACTTGTGCTCTTCTGCTGGGCCATAGTTCCTCTCCCAGAAGAGAAATCATACAGTCTGACCAATCTATAACTATACTTTTCTATCACACATGGATTATTTCAAGGCTCCAACAAAACTACTTCCAGATGTATAAACCCAAGAAACTACAAGTAAAATCTACACAGTTTTAATTAGCACTCTCAAGATGTAAACTAGTTTTAAAAGGCCGCAATGGGAACAGTTTTATGTTGCTGTATTTTTCATATTAAACTATTCAAAAAGTACACTGTGACATTTAAGATACAATAAAAATAACACAGAAACTGCTGGAAAAAGAAATGAATAGAAATTCTGTGCTTTCATAGTTTTACTTCTGTCTGAACTTTTTCAGTGTCTATTTTTCTTGTAGGACAAGATTATAACATTTTCATTATTAAAATTGCTGGTTGATAGGTAGAAGGGAGATAAAACTTTTGATGAATGTTTGTTGTATGCTTAAAATATTACTCAAATCATCCCCAAAAACATGCAGAGATTATCTGAAATGCTAAATCAATTTTTTTTTATGGAAAATACATTATACTATACTATACTATTACCTCTAACTTCCAGCACTAGTTACCTTTTTAGTAAATACTTAAAAGATAAATTGTGATTATGCAACCTGACCAGAAAATCTAGATTAAAATTGTTCTACAGAGCAGAGTAAGTCATAGGCTTTGTGGGGTCAGCAAAATCTGCTCTTCATTGAAAACCTGTAGAAAACTTGCAAAATTACTGTACAGACCATCCATTTCCACCCACTTTCACATTCATTTCACTCTAGTTCCCT